GGACACCTCCCTTAACATTCTCCCACTCCTGGAATCTGGATCAAATACTTCTTTATATCCCCATAGTTCCCTCTGCCTGGTTCTGTCACTGAACTCTTACGTTGTATTATAGTTGTATCCTTCCACTTCCATGCCGAGCACCAGGAAAGTGAGGACCTGGCCCTATGGACCAATTAGTGCTCATTGTTATGGCCTCATCGGGATACGGGATACGTCTAACGTGGCTGTCCCCAAGTGAAATGGTTTAGGGAAGAGGACTGGTAGTACACAGGAGTTGAGCTGCTCCAGGAAGTCAAGGCCCCTTGAGGTGGCTAGAGGGCCTTGCAACTAACACAACACTTATTCTATGTGTTAGCTTAAAAAATGGATCGCCCATATAATTAGCCCTAATTTTCACTAGCTCACAGAGGTTAGGGGGATTGCCCACAGCTACAGAGTGAGTCAAGCCTGGACAGGGTCTTCCTGACCTCTCAGCCAGGACCCCCAACCCCAGCCATGGCGTCTGGGTCCAGCATCTCCGACGTCCCCTGTCGTGCCATGTGCTCACTTAACCACCAGGGGCCGCCAGATGCTCGTTCCTGGGGAAGCCAGGCCCAAGCTTAGGGGTGGGTGGAGTGACTCGTGACTGCTTCTTTGAGCGAGTCCCATCGGACTCCGGCTGGTGGAGCTGGGGTGTCCTGGTAAAGAAAGGGTGTGTGCTGGGGCGGGGGGCGGAGTGTTGTGAGAGAGCTGCAGTTGAGGAGCGTTGGCGGCGGGATGGAGAGGGGGGTAGGAAAGGGCAGTTGTCGCCTCCTCTGGCCCTGCCTTGTCTGGCCGTTGGGGAAAGGGCAGAGATGGAGAGAGGGCGGACTCCCCGCAGCGCAAGGCTCTGCCTCCGCCTCCATTCTCCTCAGTCTCGCTCAGGAACAGACCGGACATTCCTAAGTCTCCGGCGGAAAACCTGGAAATAGACCCGGAGGCCAGCCTCCTGCAGCCCGAGCCGGTTCTTCCAAAGCCCGCCCTGCCCAGGACTTCCCGGAAGACCCCTGCTACGCCCGAGGCCCCAGACTCCTGAACTATGTTCCCTCCCAGAACTTCCCCTGCGCCAGTTCCTGGGGCTCCTCCCTTCCAGCCTAGGGGATCGACCCCTGCCCTGGGCACGCCTGCCCTGGGCGGTAGGCCTGTATCCACTCACGTATAGGTCAAAGTCATGATCTGTCCCTCTAAACCTGGCTCCCTTCCAGAGTTCCCTCTCTCAGTATCCGTATCGTTATTTGACCGCGAAAGCTGGGATTTATCCTTGACACCTTTCATTTTCATTCCCCACATCTGGTTCATTTTTTCACCTCCTCTTTCTATGTGTTGGTCTCTATCCACCACTCAGGGGACCAAGGGTCCATCATCTCTTGCCAGAATTGGCGCTCCTGTCTGGACTCCCTACTACCACACTTCTCCCCACCTCCTCCTAATTCCCTCTCCAGGTGGTAGCGCTGATGATCTTTTCACACCATCCGTTGTCCACCTGCTGACATCTTTCAGTACCTTCCAGACCAAACTCTTAGCATAGCCCACAGGGTCCTGAATGATCAGGTCCTTCCTGCCTTTCTGGTACCATCCTCCTCACTCTCTGTGTTCCAACTGCACTGGATCACAGGGCCTTTGCACATGCTGTTACTGTTCTGCCTTAACTAACTTCTGCTCCCTCAGATCTTGGCTCTGGCACTGCTTTCTCAGGGACACCCTCCCTCACCTCCCTGACCAGCCAGATCTCCTTATTGTTGACTCTTCCAGCACCCCATACTCCTCCTTCCTGTATTTGTCCTAGTTACTCCCCGCTCCCCGCAATCTAGTTTTGCTTTCCACAGCTTCAGTTACCTGTGGTCAACCATGGTCCAAAAATATCAAGTGGAAAATTCCAGAAATAAACAATTCATAAGTTTCAAAATGCATGCCATTCTGAGTACCGTGACACTCTCTCTCACCATCCTGCTCTGTCCCGCCTGGGATATGAATCCTCTCTTTGTGCAGCATGTCTGCGCTGTATGTGCTACTTGTTCACTAGTCACTTAATAGATCTACTAAGTGGATCTCCTGGGTTAGATCTACTTTCACAGTATCTCAGGGCTTGTGTTCAAGTAGCCTTTATTTTACTTAATAATGGCCCAAAAGTCCAAGAGTAATGATGCTGGCAATTCGGATATGCCAAAGAGAAGCTATAAAGTGCCTCCTTTAAGTGAAAAAGTGAAAGTGTTTTAGTTAAGAAGATTTAAAAAAAATAGTAATGATGCTGAGTAATGATGCTGAGGTTGCTGAAGTCTACATTAAGAACAAATCTGTCTGGGAACTTATGAAGGGAAAAGAAATTCGTCCTAGTTTCCTGAGACCACATTCACAAAATTTTTATGGCAGCATATTGTTATAATTATTGTTTTATTATTGGTTATTGTTGGTAATCTCTTACGGCGCCTAATTTATACTTTATCATAGGTATGTGTGTATAGGAAAAAATATAGCAATGTATAGAGTTCAGTACGATCCGTAGTTTCAGGCATCCACTGGGGTCTTGGAATGTATTCCCTGAAGATAAGGGGGTTCACTGTAATTGTAATTGTCCATTTGTTTGTAATATTATTTAATCAATATCAGTTTCTTCCACTAGACTGTAAGCTCCATGAGGGTAAGGACCACATCAATTTTTGCTCACTTCAACATCTCCAGCACCTATGTGCCTGGCACATAGTAGTGCCCAGTAGTCCTTGAATAAATAAGTAAATGAATGTTGCACACTTCTCTCCATTATTCCTTCGACCTCCTGAGCCCAAGCCTCCATCATCTCCTTTCTGGACCACAGCAATCACTTAACTGGTCTCCCAGTTTACAATCAAGTCCCTACCAGTTTCCTCCCCAAACAGCCCGAATGATCTAATAAAAACACCAATCTTACTATGTCACCCTCCCCACCCCTTTTTTAATAGCCTTCAGTGGCTTCCCATAGCTCTTGGAATAACACCCAAACTCCTGACACAGCCTTACAAGGCTTTGTATGGTCTGGCTCACCTCACGCCAAGCTCCACCTCCTCAACAGACCTTTCATAATTCAACAAATATTGAGCGCCTGATTAAGAGGCAATGAGGACTCAATGGTGAGTGAAAACAGACTCCTTCAGAGCCCTGCTTACAATCCTCCCGATACTTGAACACAGCTCCTCTCCATGCAGGGCCTTTGCACGTGCCTGCCCCCTTGTCTGGAAAGTGCTTCTCTCTCCTTCCTCCACATTCCTCACTTTTCCCACTCAATGCCTATTCACTCATCAACTCTCAGCTCAAACACCATTTATTTAGGGATAGCTAATCTGATTCCCAACTTAGGTCCCTGAGTAGATGCTTTTATTGCTCCCTATAGTCCGCCTTCATAGTACTGACAACATTTTTAATTTTTACATCTGTTTGTGTGGTTATTTGGCTGATGCCCATCTTCCCCATAAGCTCCAGGAGCTTTCACATCTGGTTTTTGTTACCGTCATATCCCACTGGTGCTTAGCTGGTCCTCCACAATTGATTGAATGAATAAATGAACAAGTGATTCCCCGGCAGAGTTCAGAAAGTGCTGCTTTCAGGGAAATGTTGGTGCCACTGCTCCTTGCAAATACGACCTGGGGGCTGGGAGGTATGTACGAAGGAGCTCTTGCTGAGGGCCTGGAAACTGTTCTGTTAGTCCTTTCCCTGCCCCTTCTCATCCCCAACACCTGTGACTTGGCCCCACTTACCTCTCTTCTCCACCCAGCTCACCCCTTTTTCTCATGCCCCAGCAACACTGGTCCTGCTCGCATGCTTCCAGGGCTTCCCACATACTGACCCCCTCCACCTGCAGCTCTCCTGGCTGCTCTTTCACGGGGCTGGTTCTTCCACATCCTTCAGGTCAAGTTTAATTGCTGAGTCTTTAAAGGATACCTTCATTGTAGCTCACAATGGAAATACATTCACGTGTTTATCATCTGTATCCCTAGATGCATTAGAAGCTTTTGGCCACACATAACATCCAACTCCATTGGCTTAAAGAAGCAAAGTTGTCTAGTGGTAGGATTGTTTTTGAGGCTGGTTAGTTCAGTGATGTTTTCAAGGTTCTCCTCCTCTTGCTGCTCTGCCACCCGTGATGTTGGCTTTATACTCAGGTCAGATAGCAGGACAGACACAGCAACTCCAGGCATCACAGCCGGACCCTGTATCATGCGAGCAGGGTGTTTCCATCATTATGTGTCTTAGTTAACTCTTGCTGGGTAAGAAAGTGTCACAAAACTTAGCAGTTTAAGACCACGTTTATTATCTCGCAGTTTCCGAGGGTTAGAAACCCAGGTGTGGTTTAGCTGGTTGGCTCTGGCAGAGGGTCCCTCATGATGTTTTTGCCAAACTGTGGACCAGGGCCGAAGTTTCACCTGAAGGCCTCACTGGGTTGGAGAATCAGCTTCCAAGCTTATTCACGCGGCTGCTGGCAGGGGCTTCGGTCCCTTGACCTGGTTTCCTCACAAGGTTGTCCCTGATGTAGCAACCGCCTTCCTCCAGAGGGAGTGATCCAAGAGCAAGTACAACCAGTGTCGTTAAATGACGGAATCTTGGATGTGACATCATCACTTTTGCTCAACCCTGGTACAACGTGGAAGGAACTCCACAGGGAGTGAATACTGGGTCACACCAAGCCTGGCTACCACACGGTGTATTTTTCAAAAGTGAGGACGCCTCTCCTAGAAGCCCAGGAGGCTTCTCTGTATGTGCTGGTTGGAATTGTGTCACGTGCCCATACCTAAACCAATCACCCACGAGGGCGTTCGGACCACCGTTTTTTGGCTCATTATAATAATGATTCACCCTGGGGCAAGAGTCCATCTCCACTGAAGCACAGAGTGGGATCCAGGGGGAGGATGGCCACCTGAACAAAATCAGAATTCTGTTTGGAATGAGGAAGCAGGGACGGGAATGGACGTTGAGTCTGCAACTCAGTGTCCATAACACTCACCTGCTAGGCTGTAAACTCCCTGAGAAAAGAGGCTACGTTTTTTCTTAATACTGTATCCCCAGCATGTAGCCCCCTGCCTGATACGGAGTAGATGCAACCATCCTTGTTAAATGAATAAATGAATGAATGCATGACTGAACTGGGAGACCACTAGGAGTACTGCCAGGCAGGGGCAGATGTCCCCAGGCCCTGGCTCTTTAAGTTCTCCTTAGAACTCAGGAGGCCACTTGCGGTTACCACCCCCAGCGCCAGCCCCAAGGATAGACAGGACTGGCAGAATTATTCTCACTTTATTTCTGGAGAAGTTTGATCAGATGCAATAACACTGATTCCAGGCGAGGGCAGGGGCATGGGTACCCCTAAAGCAACCAGCATCCTGTGGCCCAAGGCGCCCCCGCCACCCCCTAACCTGGGCTCCCCCTCAGTTACAGTTAAATAGAGAGAGGAAGATCTCCCCAGGGAGTCTTGGGAGGGTCTGCCTCCTGCACCCGCCCCCTCCAGGCAGAGGAGTCTGAGCACAAGCTATTTACAGTATTCACATCCACTGTACCCCACCAAACCAAGGCAAATACTACAGGTGGCCCTTCCCCAAGGGAGGAGGCCAGAGAGGCTGTGAGTGTATGTGTGTGTACGGGAGGTGTCCGCGCGAGTGAGCACACAAATGCACTGAGGAGCAGGGTCTGGCCCCAGTCAAAGAGACAACAGTCTATAAGGTGCTGATTAAAAATAACAGAGAGGACCCACCCCAGGGGCCCAGGCCACTTCCGGCTTTGTTCTGTCTCTTTTCCAGACATCCTGGTAGATGATGCAGAGGAGCTCTCATAGCTGTGCCTGGATCCAAGGCAACCCCTTAAAGGACTTCTGGGGGGAAAACGGGAAGGGAAACAGTCAGGCCAACTGTGCCTCTGAGCCCAGCCAGCCAGGGCGGGGGGCGGGGGTGTGGAGCGTGAGAAGGCTTCTGGCAGGGCTGGGGAGTTCTGGGAAGGCTGCTGGGAGTCAGGGATTTCTACCTGTGACCTGTGGGGGCTGCACCACAGCTTTCTTGAGGAAGGCTTCTGCCTCTGCGAAGGGCAGGAGTGCCTCTGGCGTTCGGCCTAGACTCTTATCACCAGTGGGTCCCTTGGGGGAGAAGCCGTTCTCCTGGTGTGCTGGGAGGGGCTGCAGGCCATTCACCAGGGGCCCCGGCGATTCCTTGCTTGGCAGGCTGTGGGTGCAGGGCCAGGGCTCAGCACCTCCTGTCCTAGCACAGCCCAGGCACCCACAGCTCCAGCCTGCCCCCGGCTCCCTGCTCAGGGCCCCCTGAGAGTGGGAGCTGGTACCTCCACTGAGGCTCCTGGGTGGCCAGCTCCTCTTTCTGCACAGCCTCCTTCTGCAGCCCTGAGGATCGAGACTCCCCGGCTTTGACAGGGTCTATCACAGGGAAGGAATGGCCATCAGCTACTGGCTGGTGGGGGGAGGAGGTATGACAATGGGCAGTGAAGTGGGCAGAGTGAGGGGAATAGGGCCTTTACCTGGGCTAGAATTGTTGGTGTTTGCCTCCTTTCTGTCCAGCTTCTGCTTTGAAGAGGAAGTGCAATCAGACTCAGGTGTATCTGGACACCTGGCTGTTGTGCTGAATTCTTCTCTCCCCCAGCCCAGACCCTGAGCAGCCTGCCACAGCCTCCTTCCCCCACCCTGAATGCCCTTCCCCAGCCTCCTCCTCACTTGAACCGACTCTCAAATGCTGCCCTTTGGGGAATCCTAACCTTTGTTTCAGCAGCTTCTGACTTCCGAGTCCTCTTCATGATTTCCTCCAGACGCTGTTGGGAGGACCCACATCAGTTAGACTGAAGCGCTGCCTTAACCCTATGCCTCCCACCAGCCAGCCCCCAACCCTGCTGTCTCCGGGCCCTTCCAGCTCTTTACCAGTCCTTTACAGGCCAGGAACCAGAACTCGCCCAATGCCTTCTTGTCCTACCTTTTACAAGTTCAAGGCAGGGTCCACTTCCCTAGCCCCATTAGTCTCATTAATGAAACAGGGACCTTGCCAGGAAGATAGCCCCGCCCACCAGCATCATCGCCCTGCCCACAGAAACCCCGCCCACTGCCTTAACCATTACCTTTTTGCGCTCTTGCCGCTCCTGCTCTTCGCGCTGGAAGTGCTTTTCCCGCTCTAGACGCTGCCGTTCTGCCTCTTCCCGGGACCGAGCTTCGGCCTCCTCTTTCTGCCAAAGACCCCAGTGAGCTTTGAGCAGCTGCACTCCAGCCTCGCTTTCAGGCTGGCGCCCAGCACTGCCCGCCCACCCGCCCGCGGGGGCACCTGCTTCTGCAGTCGCTCCTGCTCCTCCTGCTCGGCCTGGGCCTTCTCTCTGGCCTCCTGCTCCTCCCGCCTCCGGGCCTCTGCTTCCCTCTCAGCCCGGGCCTCGGCCTCCCGAGCCAGTTGCTCCTCTCGCATTCGCCTGGGGGACACAGGCAACTCACGCTCAGTACCTCGCTTCTTTAGCGGGCCCCATAGGGGCCGCCTCCAGCCCCCTCAGTCCCTAAAGGTACTCACTTGTCCCTTTCCGCCTGCAGCCTCCGCTCCTGTTCCTCCCGCTCCCGCTGCTCTCGGGCCTGGCGCCGCTTCTCGGCCAGGAGCCGGGTAGCCTCCTCTCGGTCTGTGGTGCCGGCCATGGGTTTGCTAGGGGCCGCTGAGGGGGAGGGCACTGGGGGCGAGGTCAAGCCAGCAGTATCTGGGGTGGAATGAAGGTCCAGGACAGGAGTCAGCACACACCAGCTCAGGCACCTCCAGCGCCCCTGCACATCAGTGCTTCCTGGACCTCAGGCCAACCCACGCATCCAACTTCCGCCATCCACTTTGGTGGGACCCTCTTTTCTGGCCTGTGTCCTGGGATTATACCTGCTGAGGGCGGGGCCTCCTCCTCCTCCTGGCCCCCAACACCCAGGCCCCAGTCATCTCCAGGCCCACACCTCTGACCACCTCCCCTACACAGGGAGAGCTGTTTTCTCTTGCCCTGCCCACCTCTCCGCATCCTCTCTTCATGCCCACCTGCAGGGACGTCGGCTGTGGGCTGTTCCTTCTGGGGCTGGGCTGGGGTGGGTGAGGGCACAGGTGAGGGTGCTGGTGAGGATGGGGCTGCAGGCTCCTTCTCTTCATTGGCCTTGCCCTTGCTCTGGTTCTTGTCCTCATGTCCTGCCACACTGGGCGTCTCCTTTGCCTCATCCTTCCTCCGAACCCGCCCCTTGGGTGATGCAGTGGTGCCTCGGGGGGATGGCGGTTTTGGGGGCAGAGCATGGTTGGGCCCTGGGCTGGGGCAGGGAGAGGCAGGCCTGTGCCAGGATGTGGAGGGAGAGGATGGCCGGGCCTTAGACTTGGGACTGAGAGAAAAAGGAAACGTTAGGCCTGGAGGGCACAGAGTGTCCTCACATACATATACACACGAGGGCACATCATTCCTCAGGGAACCGTCCCTTCCAGCCTAGGTCCGCATCCCCCATCTAATAAGATCTCACAGAACCGTAGTGTTTCCTTTGAGAGTATATGTCTCAGTTTGCAATTACATAGTCATTTGATTAATGTGTCTCCCCAATAGCCAGTAAGATGAATAAGAGCAAACACGAGGCCTGGTTTGGCTCACCAAAGTTTCCTCAACACCTCGAACAGAACCTGGCGGGTCTGTTCATTCATTCAGCAGGTATTTGTTGAGGGCTTACTAGATGCTAGGCAGTGTGCTAGGTGCTGGGTACTTCAGTGATTGAAACATTAAAAAAAAACAAATCTGCCCTCAAGGAGTTTTCATTCTAGAGATGGGTGCCCAGCAAGTATTTGTGAATATGTGAATGGGCTGGTGACATGCCCACCTGAGTTCAGAGGCTGTGCCAGCAGAGAGGCGTGGGCGGGGCGAGGCAGGCAGTGACTGACGCTTCTTAAGGTTGCGCTCCCGGGCCAGAGCACTCTTCTCCTTCTCATTTTCCCGCTCCTTGTCCTTCTTCTCCTTTTTCTGCACCTGGTGAGGAAGGGGATGGAGAGCAGGGAGGCAGGGAGCTGAGGTCAGTGGTGCCCACACTCCTAGGCTGGGCTCCCTGTCCCCACCTGAGTAGCCACTTACCGGCGAGGCCTGGGGCCTGCGGTGGACGGGGGCGGGGCTGCCCACTGAGCTGGGCTTGCGGCGCTCCCCACGCTCCCCGGAGGAGGGGGTGCAGCGGTGTATGCTGCTGCGGGGGGCACTGCAGGGCGGCATCAGGGGACTGGCAGAGGCCGAGCGCGGGCACACCGGCACGGCTGCAGAGGGATGAGTGTGGTCGGGATGTGGCCCACACGCGAGGCTGGCCCCTGCCCGGCCCCTTGTGGCGGCTCTCCCAGGGCCGCTGCCCCTACCCTGGTCCCGGCCATTGCGGGGCAGTGTGACTGCACTGCGACTCCGTGCCAGGAAGGAGAGGGTGGGCGTCATAAGACGGTCCACGATGCTGCTCTCCCATGCGCTCAGCTGCAGGCTTCGATCTAGGGGGAGAATGCCGGGAGGAGCTGGTCATCGCAGGGGCTCCGCAGGGGGCAGGCAAAAGCAAAGGGCGTGGCCAGGTACCATCCCCTGCCGTGCCAAGCCCCAGGAGTTTCCCCCAGGAGGACCCTATCCGATCACCCCTGGCCACACTTCTCTGCCCTGGGGTCTGACCCCCGCCAATGCAGACTGAGACAACAAGACACTTTCCAGGACAAAGTGCTGTGAGGCTTGAGGGTCCCCTCCTGCCACCCTCCCCAGACGAAAGGGCTCTGAACTGTGAGCCGCCAAGTGTTGGCGTCCCACCGTAGGGCCCTTTCCCTCCTGCTACCAGAGGGCTGGGGGGGGGCATGACCTCATGGATTTGGGACGGTAAGGGTCCTTGTGTTCCTCTGACTCAGGAGAATCCCAACTTTTAGGTGTCCCATGCCAGGGAGAGGTTTCTAGGGGGCCTGGCTGCCCTGGGCCACCCTGCTCTGCCCCCTCAGCTGCTGAGTTATTTTTAAGCCTCAGTCAGGTGGGTTTGGTACAACAGCTGATTTGGTTGCTAGGCAATAGAGCAACCAAATAAAAGCTGGAGAAACTTATAAATAACTCCTACCATGGCCCTTCACATGTGAGCACCAGGGCAGTGGGAAGCAGAGGCTATGCCACCCTGGCTGGCCACAACTCTGGAGCCAGCCAAGGCCATGGCTGCGCTCTGAAGGCAGAGAGGGCAGGGTTGTATGGCCCCTCCAGGGTGGAGCCAGGAAAAGGGAGCCCTCCACACACACCACAGCACCCAGGCCGGTCTGGTCCTCGGGGGCAGGGCCACCTGTCTAGGGCTGGCCTAGGCCAGCTGGCTGTGGTTGGAGACGAGGCTGCCTGCTCATTACCACCCCCACCCCCACCTGCTCTCGAGGCCCCTGCCAGGATCTCTGCCTGCTCTCTGCCCTTTGTCTCTGTTCTCCTCCCTGCAGGGCACACCTCTGTCCTTAGGATCCAGACCCGAATGCCGGCTCCCCCGAGGGGCACAGAGCCCCGGGTGGGGTAGAGTGGGGATGGAGACCTGGATATGTGAGGGCTCCTGGGACCTGGGGCTCTTGCTGAGCTCTGGAGGAGATCTGGCTGAGACTACAAGGGACACTGGAGGGAGCAGGGCTGGACCTTCTCTTACTTCTACTGGGGGAGTTCCAGAGCGTGGCAGAGGACTTTGAGAGCCGCTTGTTGATTATAGAGTCCACGTGTTTTGGCAGGTTTACTGCCGACACAGAGCACCTGCTCCCACCTAGAGGGGAAAAGACACGGCATTAGGGCCGGGCCACACAGGAGCCAGGGCGCACTGAGGCCTTCCATGCAGGATGCTCCGCGGGCAGGTGGAGAGGGAGGAGTGGACAGGCCAGGAAGGGGAGGAGGAGGCAGACTTGGCTCTGGGAGGAGGGTGGCGGGTAGGTGATCAGGGACAACCTGGATTGGGGGAGCCGACGGAGAAGGAACAGAGGAAGGAGATGGAGTAAAACTAGAGAAACTACAGCCTTCCTGGCCAGAAAGCCATTCCCTAGGGCTGGGCGCTGCAAACCCTCCCCCACAACCACCCAGTGTTGCAACTGCTGACACTGCCCGGCCAAGGCGCTCTGGCTACAATACCCACGTAATGCAACAAATGCAGAGACGTTCCTAAACAGAAGAACCCACAGTCACAGTCATTCGCACAAATCCACATACTCATATGGACAAAGATAAAGACATGCAGGCACAGGCATATAGAGTGATAGGCACTTCTGCATGCACATGTATGTGCAGGCATGCACTGATAGAGAAACACAAACACTAACAGATAATGTGTCAGACCCAGATGCACACAGGCACGAACACATCGAAGCAACTTAATCATGGTATTTGTAACAGCTAACATTTGTTGGTTGCTTACCATGTACCAGGCACTCTGCTGGACACCACACACATGTTACCTCACTTGATCCTCCCAAACATCTACCTACAACCTCGGAGGCAAGTAGTATTGTTATCCCCATTTTACAGATGAAGAAAGTGAGACATCGAGAAGTTAGAGGTCAAACCGCAGTGCCAGAGCTGGGATCCTAACCCAATTCTGTCTGACTTGGGAACCCTCACTGAGGTCCACAAGGCCACAAACACACCACAGCAAACACATATTAAGACACACAATGCCCAGATCTAGGAGCACATACGCCAAAAGATACACAACTAGAAATACTGAGCCTTGCCATTACATAAAGATACCCAAACACAGTGGTACATACATGCCAGCAAAGAATCAGACCAAAATCCACGACGGCCCTACATGAAGAAAACTCAAAGACAAAAATCTACCTTCTAAGACAGGTACATAAGGAGGTGTGTGTGACGGTTTTCTTTAAATATCTTGTGTCTGCAGGGCAGTAAAGTCCTCTTTTATGTATCATCAACTAATAATAATTGTCAGGGGCAAAGAAGGCTAAACCCAAAAGGACAGGTTTGACAAGCAAACCAAAGAGAGAGAATCTGTCTCTGACTTGATAGTGGAAGTCCTTGGGAAGGGACAATTTAGTTTATAAACCATTCCGGAAGACACACAAGTCACATGAAGCAAGGCATACCTGCTGCAGGGCGCTGCCAGCCCCGGCACTGAAGCCGCTCCCTTCCCCCACTCCTCCGGTCCCAGCCTCAGCCTCACCCTCCCGCCCCCCGCCCCGCGGTCCCCCAGCCCACTCACTGGTCTTGCGCCCTGGGGAGCTGTGGTGCAGGGCCCCTGCCCAGGACCAGCGCTGCTGCCGGATTTCGGCCCACGTTTTCTTCACTGACCGCTGGATGGCTGCTTCATAGCGCTCCTGGGGGGAGAGCGGGAACAGAGGTCTAGGCTCAGAATCATTCGTAGTACCTGGGACAAAGGCCCCTCTCCTGGGACAGCACCCTCCCCCAGATGCCCTTCCCTGACTCATCGCAGGTAACCAAGGCTACTGAATCCTGGCTATGATTAAGGACCATTTGCAACAGATCCCTTTCAACTTGTTCTTGAGGAGCTTTTCACTGTTCTTGAGTCACTTCCTGAGTGTATGCACTCTCTCTGAGCACAGCGTGGGACTCTCCCTGCCTGGGGGTCCCAGGTGGGGCCATGTCCCCTTGGCACCGTGGGGCATTTGTTTTTCTTTCAGCCTGAGGCCACTGGGCAGAGCCAGGCTGCCTTTTCCTTTCATTTCCTCACTGGTGGTGCTCAAGCCAGGTTTCTCCTCACATCGTGGAGCTCAGCACACTCACACATCTCTGTGTACAAACACACATGCGTGTGTGCATATGGGGCCCTGGTTGGGTCGGTTGGAGCGTCATCCTGGTGTGCCAACATTGCTAATTTGGTCCCCAGTCTGGACATATATAAGAATCAACCAATGAAAAGATGCATGGGTGGAACAAGAAGTCAATGTTTCTCTCCCTCAAGTCAATAAATAAAAATTAACAACAACAACAAAAAACAAATATACACATGGGGACACACATGCACACACAAATACGTGTACTGACAGCACACGGCTACAGGTGCCCACACTGGCCAGTAGTGACCCAAACATGTCTGCAGCTGCACAGATGCCCATATGTTGTACCTGCAGAGACCCAACTACAGATGAGAATGCTAATATGACCACGTGGACAGAGAGGACGCAGAGGCTTGACCTCAGATGTGCGCACATACTGGGCCAGTTGCACAGATGTGTGTGCACACAGGTATGCAGATCCACACACACAGAGTCATCTGCCAACAGGAACGCACCTTGTTTTTCTCGAGCTTCTGTCTTTGCCGCTCCTCCAGAGCCGCTCGGCGCTGCTCGGCTTTGAGCCGCTGCTCCTCCAGCCGCCGCCGGCGCTCCTGGAGCTGCTTCTCCCGCAGTGCTTTGGCCTTCTCCTCCTTCTCCAGCCACACTGCCTTCTTGGCCGCTGTGGGAAAGGAGCCCCAGGAGTGAGGGAGTCTGCATAGGGCAGGCCTTCCCTGGTATCCCAGCTCGGGGCGGGGCGGGGGGTGGGGGTCCTTCTCCTGCCTGCTCGGTTGGGGGTGCCTGGGCTCCCAGACTCTCCCTCAGATTAAAGGGCTTCCTGAGTCGGGCTCCAGCCTCAGAATGGGAGGCTGATCTCCCCCGACTGGCCTCATGGTCACTTGGCACTGAAGGGCAGAGGAGTTCTTCAGTGCCAGATCCCTGTCTGACTTTGGGACCTGTCGAACCGATTTTCATGGGCTGTGATTGAAAACACGAGCCTCTGGGTCTGTGTCTCGGGTCCTCTGCAAGCTGTGTGACTCAGGCAAGTGGTTTCCCCTCTCTGAGCCACTTGTTTTCTTGTCCTCAAAATGGGTTGAGAGCATCACTGAGACAATGTGTGTACTGCCCTTAGCGTTGTGCACATAATTAAGTGTTCCAGAAGTGTTAATGTTGTGCATAGGACATTGAGGGTGATGATGATAAGGGTGAGGAAGATGATGATGTTTCCCCAAACACTCACCCAGGTACTTGGCCCGCTCTTCTCGCCGCTCCTTTGCCAGCTTGTGTCTCTCTCCTGCCTTCTTCACATCTTAGTAGAAGGAATGAGGATAGATTTAGGTCAAGTGGCTCCTCCAAAGGAGAAGAGTGAGCCTCGGGCCCACCCCACCCCACCCCCAGGCCTGACCCCATCCCTTTTCCCATCTCCTCCAGGGCAGAGGAGATTCCCTCCGGTGGTATCACCCAGAGCTGGGGCCCTGAGCCAAGGGGCCTGGGCTAGGACTAAGGACCTCATACACACCTTGCTTGGCAGAAGGGCTGTCGGAGGCTGACACTGCCGTTGGAGAGGGCTGGCTGCTCCTTCGAGGAGGCCTGGAATCCCGTGGGCCTGTGGCTGCTGGGGTGGGTCCCCTGACCTTCGCTTCTGAGAAAGGGGACTCTTCCTGCTGGGGGGTTGGCCTAGGCCCGACCGGCCTTGGGGGACTCTCTGGTTCCAGTGCGAGCTGTTTAGAGTTAGTGGCATTCTTCATGGCTGGAGGGGTGTCCGGGGGAGTGTCGGGGATGAGGGCTGACATCGATGGTGGTGGCGGTGGAGGCGGTGAGGGGTCACCCTCTGGAGAAGGTCTTGGCTCTGGGGGGGTCCTGGCTGCCACAGCTGGAACACCAACACAGGAGAGGAGAGTCAGACGGTACGTATGCACCATCTGTTCACCTTGACGCTCCCTCTCCCTTGCCCAACTGTCTTATTCATTCATTCGCCCAACATGTTCATTGAGTTCCTTCTATGTACCAGGACTTGTTCCAGATACTAATGATATAATGGCGAGAAAATAGCCATGGTCCCACCCTCTAGCAGGGCAGACGAAGAGCTGGGCAGTCGCAGTAGAGAATAAGTACTATGTTGGGGGTAACACAGCAGAGATGGTCAACCTGCATTTGGGGGCTTCCTGAAGAAGTGGCCACTCGGCCAAGCTCTAAAAGGTGGGTCAGAGTGGCAAAACCAGGAAACAAGAGTTCTGGCAAAGAGCAGAGCATTTGCAAAGGGGTAGAAGGGAGCGCAGGGTATGCTGGGAAAAAATGAGAAAAGTTTGTGGTACTTATTGATGTTCCAAATGGTAATGATTGGTTCCCATGTCTGCCTCCCTCGCCCGTCTGCTCTACCTCAGCGGCACAGTGAACCCCAGGTCTGGTACCCCAGGTCAGAGGGTGCCGGGGCTGGGCACATGGGACTGGCAAAGAGGAAGGACAGGTCATGGGCACAACTACAATCCCCAACCAGCTATGTCCACTTTGTAACCTTTCTTTCTTCCCCAACCACCCTCAGATTTCTTCTCTTAAGACTAAATTCTTTTAGTACTTCAAGGGCCCTGTAGAAGATATCAAAGAACGTAGTCAGAAAGCCACGTGATTTGGTCTGTACCCGCGTACGCACACAGGTAAGCACATGGACACTGTGGGGCAGCTGAAAGACAGGCCTCGGCCCCAGTCAGTGAGGGCCCAATTCTGAGGTCAACACCGTCAGGCAGGAGAGGAGGGCCTGCTTCTCTGGCAGGCAACCTTGGGCAAGCTAGTCAACTTCGCTTAAGCCTCAGTTTTCGTATCTGTAAAATGGGTCAATGATCCCAAGGTAGTAGGGAGGTCAGTAAAGTGCCTGGCACAATTCATGTGCCAGGAAACAGCAACTTCCCTCCCTTTCCCTGTGGGTCTTACAAAGCTCCCAAAGAGAAACCTCCGCATGTTGAGCCCTAGTGCCACCTGAGGCTATTCTGGGCACTGAAGGGACCAGTGGGGACACAGCCACTGACCTGGGTTTAGGGAGCAGGGCCAGGGTCCACCGGAAGGTGAATCTAGGGGAGCATTTTTTTGCTCTTGTTAGGTGCCTGCACTAGACTAGGTCCTCTGCTCTGGGAACTCTGGCTCTCTCAGGAGGTGACAAACTCCCCATCCCTGTGGGTGACAATGTGTGTGCAGGGCCTCCCAAGGAGTCGCCTTTGGGACTAGGTACCTTTTTCAGGGAGACAGGTGCCGGTGGTTGAGTATGGGCTCTAAAAGCAGACTATTTGAATGTGAATTCTGGCTTCTCCACTAACTGTGCGAGCTCGGGCTAGTTACAGACCCTCTCTGAACCACAGCTCCTCTTCTGTAAAATGCAGACAGTACCTACCTCACAGGACTGCGAGGAGTTTTAGCGATAGCAATTACCGTTAACAGTTAGCTATTTCTCCAGAGCTTTCTATATTGAAAGCACTTTACACAGATTCGTTTAATCCTCACTGACAATACTTAAGGAAGGAGGCACTATAAATATCTCTTTCGTACGGATGAGGAAAATAAAGCAAAGAGATGTTGAGTAAAGTGATTTCAGGTCACTCTGCTGGTAAGTGACAGAAGCTGGACTTGAACCCAGCATCTGTCAGCAGAATCCATGCTCTTACCCATTCCACTGTCTTGCCTCTGTTTAAGGGAGTATGAGGTAATACGTGTTACACAATGAAATTATGTAAGGCTCATGCTATTTTCCCCTCATTTCTTTCCTTCTAACTTTCTGGGCTCCAGGCAAGAGCCCCAGCTGAGGCCCTGCCTCCGCAATGGCACCTAGATTCCGTGCCAGGCCACCCAGCCCTCCCTATGCCAGCTCAGAAAGCTGCCTTGTCATTGCTGGTCTATTTCCCGGCCACCTGCAAACTCCTTTCCAACTCCAAGTCCAGCAGTAAAACTATAGCAGGTCCTCGAATAACATAGTTTCATACAACATCATTTTGTTATAACGTTGATGCTGTAGGAACTTAACTGTTGAACTGTTGTTTATATCAGTTAGCCTATGGTAAAATTGGTTTCATTCTCTGTTGTTTCACTTAAAGTCACAGAACCTATTAATGATGTTAAGTGAGGACTTACTGCAGTAGCAACTATTCAGTGAGTGCTTACTATGTATCAGGAACTGAACTAGACCCTTAAAAATTTTTTTTAGAAGTAGTATATGGCAGCATTTGAACCGAGGGCTATTAGGGACCAGAAAGAACTAGGTATTTAGGCGTATAAGTACTAAGCTTGAAGGCCGAGGGTGAGGTCCGTATGTTGCCAGTCTCCTAGCACCTGTGCGTGCTGCAGGTGTTGCAAGGAAAACCAGTAGGCGGATGTTTGTCTAGACCTAGGCAAATCACACCCACCAGGCAAGACGGTGAATCTCCAACCAGGTCCTGATGCACTGCGTAAAGGGAACCTGGGAGGAGGGAGGGAGGGAGGGAGGGAGAGAGGACCTGTACCTGGGTGTCAGACGCAGCGGAGTAGAAAGGTCTTAGCCTTTGGAGTCACATAGGCCTGAGTGGGGAATCCTAGTTCTGCTGTGGGCAAGCCCTGAACCTGTCTGAACCTGTTTCCTCACCAAGTTGTTGGGACCGATGGGGAATATGTACATCATGTCTGTGCCCGACGGAATCTGTCCCCTTCCTTCCATCTCTGCCACAAGAACCCACGTCGGCCAGGCCCCACTCCCATTACTCCATGACACGGCTCTCCTGAAGGTCCCCCATGACCTCCACGTTGTTAAATTCAGCATCCATCTCTCAGTCCTTGTCTTGCTAACTCATCGGCCACATTTGACACAGCTGATGCCTTGGTGCTCCTTAAACACTTTCTTGGCTTGGCTTTGAGGACCACACACTCTCCTGGTTTTCCTTCTGCCTTGCTGGCCTCGGCTTTTCAGGTTTCTTTGCTGACCCCTCCTTACTTTGCTAACCTCTTGGTGCCCGAGTGCCCCGGGGCTCAGCGGAGGGCCGCATCGCTTTTCTGTCTATGCACTTCCTCAGTGATCTCATCCAGACTCATGGCTTTAATGCCATCACTCTGCTGATGACAACCAAAGTGCTTCTCCAGCCCAGACCCCTCCCTTGAGTTCCAGTTTCGCTCATGCAACACCCTACTTAACACCCCTGGACGCCTTTTACAGACAGACACCCCAAATCCGACACATCCAGAAATGGATTTCTGATTCATCCCCACCCCCCAAAGGCTGCTCCTCCCCCAGTTTTCCCCATCGCAGTCAGGGCAACCCTGCCCTTCCAGTTTCTCAGGCCAAAACCCTTGGAGTCATTTTAGAATCTTTTTCTTATCTGATACCCCACATCTAATCTCTCAGTGTATCTTTTTGGCTCAGTGTGCCGAATATATTCTGAATCCAATCACTTTTACTCTCTCCACTTCTAACATCTTAGCTCAGCCACCACCACCCCCTTATAAAAGACGCCCCCTCCCACTGCCATTCTTTGTTCCCCTTTGGTCTTTCCTTAACACAGCAGCAAGTGATTCTGTTTAAAAATAAGTCAGATCAAATCGTACCCTGACAAAATCCTCCAAAGATGCCCCATCTCCCCAGGAAGAAAAATCAAAGGCATCACAATGGCCTCCAAAGCCCTTCAGGATCCTCCCTCTCGAGCCCATTGCATCTTAGGCCTCATCTCTTCCTCCCCCTTGCACCCTGCTCAGCCTATTCCAGCCATTGTTCCTTCCCCATGCCAGGCACGCTCCTGCCTCAGGGCTCCGCACTTGCTGTTCCCTCTGCCAAGAATTCTCTGCCCCTGGTTCATGCACATCTTACTTCCTCAACTCCTTCAGGTCTTTCCTACATAATGTCACTTCTCAATGTTGCCTTCTCGGACCCCCTACTTAAAACTATAAACTGTAGTTGACATCTCCCTCCCCTTTGCAACCGTACTTTCTCCACAAGCATTAACACCACTTTAACACTCCCTCCCACTGGCAGAAGATAATCTCCATGAAGGAACGCGTTTTTTTCTATATTGTTAGCCATTCCGTCTCTAGCACTGACAGACGCTGGCACACAGGTACTCCGCAACTATCTGCTGAATGAATAAATCAATGAACTCCACCCTGGCAGATACCATCAGCATCTCTCTTACCTGGATGCCTGCAAAGCCCTCCCACTGCCCTCCCCACACGCATTCTCACTCTGCTCCCCAAGGAGCAGCCAGGGTAATTGTTTCCAAATGCAAACCTGATCATGGTACACTTGAAACCTCTCAGTGGCTTCCCACTGCTCTGAAGATAAAGATAAAATTCTTGACCCCAAGATGCAAATCTGGCATAGTTTGAAGTCCCGATCCCCACCCCACCCCCAGCCTTTTGAATCTCCGTATTACCCACTCGCTCTCTGCATTGCAGCCACGCTGCCCTTTAATTAGGATACCCATCCATGCCTCCCCTAGCGGTGGCAGAACATGCTTGTTCTCTTCTTTCCTTAGACAACTCCCATTCACCCTTCATATCCTACCTAGCTCAGTTATCATTTCCTCAAGGAAGGCTTTTCCCGGCTTCTCTGATCAGGATAAAGTCCCAGAGTCATGGCTTCATGTGTCTCTTGTTAGGAGCACCGTGACTGTTAACACTTCAAACTTCCTCGTGTGGTTCTTTTTTAATTGTCAGTTTCCCCGCAGGTTGTGAGGAGGAAGCCCTACAAGAACAGGCCATGCCTGCTTTGTTCACTGCTGCATCAGCAGCGGACGCCACATTGCCAAGTACACGCAGGCAGTCAAGAAATGCTGTTAAATGAGAATAAAATGCTGTATTGGAAGCCACCCTGTGCTAAAGCAGGTGCACAGAAAAGGAGATTTTTACTCTAACAAAGAGTAAATCCAC